TCTTCGAGCCCACACATAAGAAAGAGAGGGGACAGCTTTCCCTGTTCTCTCTCTCCCACCCCCAGAGCTCAGACTCTGAACAGAGATGCAGTGATGCCCAGAGATTTATGCAGGTGCCCCTAGCTGGTGGGGCGTGTCCCAGGCTGAGGGGCCAAGCGCTCCTTATAAGCTGAAGGGCGAGGGTGAAAGGAGGGTGGGGGCAGAGGGGCCTGCCTTGGGCTCTTTCCCATACACTCATTCCAGGTTGCAAAAATTTGTCTGGGAGGAAAAGATTACATGAGGGTGAGAAGGCTGGAAATTGGAGACCCACTGCCCCAGGCCCCAGTCTCACTGATGTCTAGGAGATCCAATTCTCCACCAAGCTACTGTAAGAATCTGGGAGACCCCAGGCCCACAGCTTCCTTCATCCATCACAACCGCTCACATATACAGTTTGTTAAGAACTAGGCACTTTTAAAAACATTTTTTCCTCAAAAAAGCTAAATGAGGTAGATATGATCATCCCCAATTTACAGATAAGGCAACGGGGAAGTTAAATCACTTGCTCAAAGTCACACAACCAGCGAGTGACAGAGCTGGGATTCAGACCCAGGCAGTCCAGGTCAATCATGACCATCATCATCGTCATCATCATCCCTGCTCTTAGTTGTGATGGCATATCACCTGCTTGGGAAATAATGCCTTGTTCTTTCTTTTTTCTTTCTTTTTTTTTTTTGAGACGGAGTCTCACTCTGTTGCCCAGGCTGTAGTACGGTGGTACAATCTCAGCTCACTGCAACCTCCACCTCCCGGGTTCAAGCGATTCTCCTGCCTCAGTCTCCTGAGTAGCTGGGATTACAGGAGCCCATCACCATGCCCAACTAATTTTGTATTTTTAGTAGAGATGGGGTTTCACCATCTTGGTCAGGCTGGTCTTGAACTCCTGACCTCAGGTGATCTGCCTGCCTCGGCCTCCCAGTGTGCTGGGATTACAGGCGTGAGCCACTGTGCCCAGCCCAATGCCTTGTTCTTTCATCCAGCTATATGTTCCCTGAGACCAAGCCTCAGTCCTTCCCCTCTGTAGCTGCCCTGTGGGTGCCTCCACCTCCAAATAGGCCAAGGCTAGAGGGGGGCATGGTGAGAAGTGCTTGGTGCCCCTGGGCTCTGTGTCTCCTACCCCAGTTCCCCCTCCTCAAATTCCCTCTCGGGAAGAGGTACCCCTTCTAGGCTGGAACCTGCACTCATGGGTGGGAGGGCCTCGCTTAGCACACACTTAGTCTGGGCAGCTGTGCCCTCAGAACCAGGCCCTGAGGCTGGGCAAAGAGGACACAGCTGTTGGGCATCTCTGAGGTGGGCCTCAGCTGCCAGGGGTGTGGAGAAAGGCCATTGTGAGCCCTGCAGTGGACCCAACTCAGCAGGGTCCTGCCAGCTCCCCCACTGCCCATGGGGGCGGTTCTTTTCCAGCTTGGGCCAGTGTGGGGGGCTTGCTTAAGAGCTGCTAGCTGGCTGCAGCCTGCACCCTGAGGGTGCCCACAGAACTGGTGTCTCCAGACATGCAGGCCCGAGGGGTCAGCATGGGCAGTGGCTGACCCCCCCTCTCTTCCCCCGTTCCCAGCCCCTAAAACTTGCTGGCCACAGCTGCAGCACTAAGGAAGTGCAGGAAGTCCTGAGCAGCCAGCTGAGCCCCCCGCCCCCCACCCCAACCTCAAGCTGACCCCAGAGGCTGCACAGGGGGGGCCGAGGGGCGGAGCTTGGGTATTAACAACTGGAAAAGTATGAAGAACATTGCTGCCAGTCCCCAGCTCTGAGACAAGGACAGGGGTAGACGGGGGGTAGCGACAGGGCGAGAGAGAGTTACAGACTGGCAGAGGAAAAAGGAGAGAGGGAGGGAGAATCAGACACTGCAAGAGAGAACAACAGAAAGAGAGACAGAGTTAGAGAGAAATTCCAAGTCAAAAATACACATCACTCATACAGACACTCGCCAGCCGATGGCCTCTTAAGGAAAGCTTCCAAGTTTGGACAGGAGGGTCCAGGTGGGAAAAAGGGCCAGACTCAAGGTGGGACACAGGAACTCAGCTGGGGGTGACTGACTGTTCCCAGGAAAGGCCCAGGCAAATGACTCAGAGCAGGGGCAGTTAGACACCCCAGAGCTTTTAGGATAGGGAGAAGAGCAGCTCTCCCCTCCCCCAGCAGTCAAGAGAATCCCAGCTTCTAGAAGTCACTGGATACTGCTTTGAGCCCATGACTCGGCCCTCTGGAACCCCCCTGAACCCACTGTCTTTGCTCTTGTTTCTCTGTCCCTCTAAAAGAAAGAAAGAAAAAAAAGAAAAAAAAAAAAAAAAAAAGCCCATTCCCGCACAGTGGCTGAGCCTAGAGGAAAAAGGGAGGAGGAAGCTGAAGGGGAAAAGTCTGTGATTGTGTGCATCTAAGTGTGTGCTTGGCTGCGCAGGCTCCAGTTGTGTGCATCTGGGGTTGTGTGGACACGACTGTTGGTGGGGATCTGCAACTGTGGGGACCTGGGCCTCATGAACTCGTTCTGTACCTTAGTTCAGGGGACCATGTGCAAATGAGTGCACCTGTGTCTGCAGGTTCCACAGTCAATCAACTCACAAGTATTTACAGAGCAGCCCTTGTGCTAGGCTCTGGGTGGCATCCAGAGCTCTTTAAGTGATTCTCCCAGGTCTCTAAGAGCTCACTGTCTAGTAGGGTGGTATCTCAAGCGATAGAGACCAAGAAGATGTCATTAGGAATGCAGGCTTTGCACCATTACGCAGGAACACCTTTTCATACAGCCAAATTTAATATTCTTGGGAGCAAGGGTTTTGTTGCCTGCAGAACCTCAGAGTTCCACAGTAAGAGTCCAGGAAAATACTTGTTGCTAAGTTGTGTATACATGTGTTGATGTGTAACTGTGTTTGCATCTGACTGAGTGATAGCGACTGTCACGGCAAGCAATGATGTCTGTGTGACTGGGCTCATGCGAGCACGTGTGTGCCTGTGAGTGACAGGGTCTTTTGTAATTGTGCGGCTGTGTGCAATTGCTCTGTGTGCATGCATGCATGTGACAGTGACTTTTTATGTGTGGGTGACAGCAACTCCTCCTTGCCCCAGTGTGTGACAGCATCTCCGTGTGACCCTGTGTGTGGGTGGGTATGTGCATGGGTCGGTCCCCATGCTCTTGGTCTCCCGTGGGTATATCCCACCCCTCTGAGCTCCACGGTGCAGCAGCAGCCTGCCTCTTCCCTTGTCCCCATGTGGGTGTGTCCAGTAGCTCCTGTCCTTGAGTCCGCCTGGGTGTCCCTGGGTGTGCATGTGGCTGTCTGTGTGGACATATCTCTGTGTCTGCATGTCACTTTTGCTTCCCCCCCTCATTTTGGACAACAGCCCCCTTCATCCCCTCCCCCTCCTGGAGCCAAAGGCAGCACTGAGGGGCAGGCTCCCACCTCACTGTCTTTCCTTCTGTGTCCCCCACCCCCACCCCTGGAACGGTGGTTCTCTCAATTGCCCCTGTCATCCCCCAGGCCTTTCTTTCACGCTGGACAAGGGAGGGCCCCACATGCAGAAGGGGCACCAGAGACACGTTGCAAGGGGAGGGAAACAAGGTGGGGTACACAAACAGGTCCATTTCTCCCTGTCCTCCCCAGCCAGCAACTCTCCTAATCATCTAGGCACCATCAAGTACACCCCCTCCACACACACATTCCCCCCAACAGCCGCGTTTTTGCAATTAGGAGTGTTGCAACCAGACAGCCATGCTCAACTGGGAGGCGGGTGAAGCGAGGGGGGGAACTTCCCTCTCCCAGGACCCGTGCAAGCCCACCACCGCCACCGCACTCATACTGCCCTCCGCAGCTGGAGGCAGCTTTGCAAAGGCCACTCGGCCTCAGAGGCTAGGGGTGGGGGCTGGGGGGGGCAGGCCTCCGGCGCACCGTAAACAA